CACTTGTCTATCTGATTGTAAATGACAGGATGCAATATTACATTATCATTACTTAATTGAAGAATATAATGTATAGAAGGTCCTAAAATCAGTGAGCTCTAGAAACTTCAGGCAGAAAATTATCGCGAGGGCATACAAATTGAAGTTATAATTCGAAGAATCAACCCGGGAAACTACAACCAGGAACCATTTTATTTCGGCTTCAGTTCCTAATTTTTTTAATAGTGAAACAAATAGTACTCACACAAATAAGAAAAGAGTGTTTTATTGAAGTGTCGTAAATAGTTAAAAGCAGATGCCTCTAACCCACTTGATTCTACAAGTAAATAAGCAACAGATCTTACTGTTGAATGCAATGGTTGGTATCCAAACGGGAAAGGGGTACATCGTCTTTAACCTGTTGACGCTATGACAGATTTAATCACCATAAGAAACAATCCTGATTAGAAATGCATTAGGATTTCTAATAAACCCCATGATGCAGCAAATTTGTATTATGAATCAAAATGTTTAGAAATCATGTAATTCTACCGCAAAAAATTTATTATGAATATTGAACATATTAAGGAGAAGTGTCTTGGCAAAAATAGAATAAAGCATTCAGGATAAGAATCTCACCTGCCAATGGAACCTAATCCAATAAATATAGGTAAAGATGAATAAAAACTTCCCATGACAGTGCTCCAAGTCATCATGATTTGCACACAGAGAGTCGGGCCCATTGCCTCCGCGTCTGCTCCCAGCTCCATCAGCGGACCACCACCATATCCCGCGGCAGCTCCAGCGGCGTCCCTTCCGATCAGGGGCGACCACATCAGTGCCCAGCACAAGCAGCGCACACACTGACGTCCTTGCCACGACGTGCAACAACATCAGCCCATCGGCGGCGGTGCGGGGCCTCCACATTGGCGCGCAGCTCGAGCAGCCCATGCACAACTCGAGCTAAATACCCATGCATTGCCACTTGATGATAAATAAAGTATGGGTTCGTTAGTTAATATATTTAATCAAATACGCCGAGTACAACATATGTTCAGTTTTATCACATCTCATATATACATTATTGATCTCATCAAACATTTTTGAATGTTAACATACATAAATAAAAGGTCATATCGTAACTCCTAACATACATACATGAATTTTAGCACTGTCACTGTCCTAGGGGTAAAGAATCTGCATTGTTTCGTAACGAGTCTCGCGACTTTCGTCTGTTCTTGTGGTTACTCTCATAATCATAGACAATCTATTTTTGGAAAGATCGGGACGATGTTGCAATTACGCATGTCAAGAGAAAGTTGATCAGATGCCATAAGCCCATAATCATGTGCGAAGATGAAACTTAGAACGTGCCTTGCACTACAGTGAAATCTTTTACCTCTCATATTTGCAGACCCAATGGGTAATAAGTAATCCCATATGCACCCTTTCTCCGAGCCACATCATGGTCGCCCCATCTTATTCAAAAATCCTGAGCAATGAATCAAGCTGAATAATATGCATCTTATTTTACAAATTGAAGGCATATAGCAGCATACCCAAATTTCTAGCTAGCTGACCTTGCAGGTACTGAAAATTAAGTAGACAATGTTAGGAGACTCGAAAGAAGGGTTTAGCCAGCCTGTGATCCGTACATTATATGATCATGTGCAGGTTAGTATTTTACTGTTTAAATCATTGGGGCTCTCCTCATCTTGTTTTGAAATAGCTCTGTTAAGACTTCTTCTGTCTATGTACATAATTGATGTATGTATGCAAAAACATATACAACAATGATTATGATGTACAATGTGACAATACAACAATCGACACTTTTTTCTTCTAACCTCTTCATAGTCTAAGGAAACAAGGTCAAATAAAGATACTTGTGTTGCACAATAAAATAAAATAATTTGGTAGAACCAGAAATCACATTTGCTTCAGTCAAATTAAAGAGCCGTTGCACATAGACTATGAACTACATGGCATCTGAACTCACCGTTTCAGTGCTCAAACTTTTGCTCTTTAAGCTTGACGGTTTTTATTACTTCTCTCGACAAATTGTCAAGTTATCCTATGGGGAAAGCATTTGCATCATTTAGTCAAATAAGTGGAGTAACAACATGTACTCTCTCTGGTGGTTTTTAAATAAGTGGAGTAACAACATGTACTCTCTCTGAACTATCATTTGGCTGTAGAACTTTAAAATCAAATCCAATTAATTGGAACTAAAGAAATATAGTAGCAAACAACTTATAGCTAGATATGACCTCTCCATTCAGCTTAAAAAAGAAGTGCCAAATCAGACTTGGATGCATCCACTAACATTTCTAAGTAGGTACAATCAGCGCTCTATTAGAAGGAAAAGGAAGAAAAAAGCATGTAGGTGGTGGTGGTGTTTCAAAAAATAGTTTGACCCGCCACAATAGAAGGCAATCTAGTTTATCCTCACCGAATTGACTCGCCTTTATTTCCTAGGATGTACTGCATGACCTCTTTGAGCTGAATAAAAAGTTTTACTAACCTAGAAACAAAATCATAACATTACAATAAGAGTGGATTAGAGAAATTAGCATGTTGTCCTTAATAATAACAGAAAAATAAAGGTTATGGAAACTAAATGTCAAATCTGGATAGCAATATATAGAACAGTCTCACTGTTATAGCACACCAATTGCTATAGTGAATCATCTAAAAACACAATTTATGCATGGAGAATTTCATATATATAGTGAGTCATATATTGAAGATCTGTATATTTGTAGGTTGTAACAACCAGTGGCAGTTCAACCAGCTTGTACGACCCATCAAAAGTATTAAGTATAAAAGCGATTCGACACGGCCGCAAAACTGCAACCTGATAAATTTTTCCAACGTGGTTGCAAAACGTTTGGACAAGTTTCAGTTTAGTAAAGCTTACCATGTAGTTAAGACTGCAAATGTGGTGCATACTGCTGTCATTCTCAGCACACATTGATCGTTGGTTTGGTCCTGGGAGAACAAAGGAAGAACTCTGAAATTAGGCGGCTGCTTTCACCAATGACCGATCCACACACCGGACTCATAACCGTGTAACATAAACAACACAACAAAGTAGTGAAGGCATTAGCATTCAAATTCCGACCCAGCATCCGTGACCTCCCATCCATCTTAATCTCAGTACTTGATATAGACTTGCATTTATTTCAGATGTATGTTTGTGCCAAATAATTTAATATGGACGAAAAAATAAAGAGAAAAGAATGCTAGTTCTTCAGAAAGTAGAAAGAACTGATGGTTACTTCTAACCAGGGAAACTTAATTCTTAATATACAAGCAAGAATCAATACTGAAAGGACCATAATCAGAAAAAAATAGACCCGTAGTAACATCATTATTTACGGCGACCATAATCAAAAATAAATGTCTATTTTTTGTACGTGCAAGGACGGACTATGATGTTGCACCTACTTCAGGCTCTACATGAGGCCCTGCCATGGCCAGGGCTGTTGGGGCCTTCTTCTTGGCCTTCGTGGCGCCTCCATTGATGACAAAAGGAGAAGTCGACATGGCATATCTCGGCGAGCCGCTTCTTCTCGTTATTGGTTTCCCTATGGCCGTGATCTAGATCTGTGGATACGAGATTTGGATCGAGGGAAGGGAGAAGGGAGGGGAATTGGGGACTTACATAGGGGAGTCCGCATTGATGGGGATCTTCTCAAGGTCGATCGAGCCGCACATTTTCATCCAAGGCCGCCATTTTCTTGGGGGCACGCGGCGCTGGCGGAGACCATTGGGTGGCGGCGCAGGGGAGAAAGCACGAGGAGCCTACGACTGAGGATAGAGATAGTCTGTAGAGAAGCAAGGCGGCCGGGAGCTCGATCAGGCCCACGCCCTCCTCAACATCGAGGGCGAAGTAGCTCCGGGCGGCTGCGTCGAGCCCACATCGACGACCTCGGTCCGTTGCAAGTGGCAGGTTGCGGAGGGAAACTGAGCGGCATCGATGGTGGCGATTCTAAAGACCGATTTCCCCTGCAGCTCACGAGATCGGGAGGGTGAAGGTGGGCGGCGACCAGATCGGGAGGGTGAGGGTGGGAGGCGAGAGAGAAAGAGAGGTGGGCACCCTAGACCCGGAGGCCTCGCTCATTCCTGCCCGCGTGCAGGTCGTGGAGGGTTTTTTTCCGCTGGTTTTTCTTTGTTAGATTCTGTCGCTTGCGAGAGAACTACATGAACGTGGTTTTGGTTGGGTTTTTTTGAACCGGGAGGTGAGAGCAGGTATCAAAGAAGTACCAAAAAAAACATGGTAGGTGAGACGAAAATTAAACCCAGAACACAACCTACCAACTAAGACATTAGGAGTAGAGATGCTCATTCATGTGCTCACGCGCTTCATTCTCTCTGGTACGGTGCGTGGATTCAGTCATTCATGTGCTTATATACAAGCACAGATAGATATGAAATAAGCTTATTTGCTAGGTTGCTGGTCTGTTACAGCCATTGACCCAATATGTTCTAATAAAAAAACAAGTACTTATAACTAACAATGACAATGAGAGGGGACAAACACAGACAACAGAACGATAAAAGACTTCTCCATGGGTAATTAACTCATGTTCAACAATTACATCATTCAGTATCCATCAAAACATAAAACCACGAGCAAACATTACTGGAATTGAAATTAAGCATTCTATTAAGTGCTCCAATCCTTCATCCCTGATCAGCTTCACTTCAGGGTACCAGGAACAGGTGAATTAACGGTACTGCAACAAAAGATAATAATCAAATAATTATAACAATAGTTCTGCACAAACGATAAAATTTTGATATACATGCTTTATACTAGACTAGAAGGCTAGATGCAGAAGAAACGACACTGCATAAGAACATCAAGACAACTGTACCAAAGCTTGGCTATTATGTTATCTGAATCATATTAACCCATTTCAGAAATTGCCTGGCCACAATAACAGCATACCACTAGTGAATTGTCAGACTTGGAAATACATCTTCAATGTAATAAAATTCTAGCAAAAAACATCTCAATACAGAAACTGCAAAGTAAATGAGCCAACCATAGAGAACAATGGAGCACATCAATTTGTTAACCAATCATTTATCTAATTTGGATGTAGACTAGGAATAGGTATCATCAAACACTAGAAGGCAATAAGGAATCACAAATCTAATGTATTAAGTCATAACTGACATTTGAAGCTGCTTACTGAAGGACTATATATAAATAGTAAGGGAATCATGGCTGACAAAATAATAATATAATTTCAGATTGTTCCTGGTGCAACAATAATGTTCTTGTTGTATACCTTGATGAAGCCAATGTCCTTGGCGTTGCTGCGGAAACACTGCCTGCAACACATCAGCCCATACTTCCTGATCAGTCCATGGGAGTTTCCACAGACCCGGCTGCCAAAAATAACAAACTTGGGGTCAGTACAATCACTCGTAAGCATACTTGTTCATCACAATAACATCAGTGATTGAATGGTACGCCAGACAAGCCAGCAACCACATGCTATTTCAGTTTGTTACCGCACAGCACCGGAAGAAATGCTTGTTAAGTAACAAATTAAACTTTTGAGGCAATTCTAACAATATTTTCCTGGTTGAGTCGCTTGTGAAGCCACTTGCACATCACAGCAAGCTCTGAATGGTTTGAGCGACATACTAACAACGAAACCCGAAACCTACCTGACCACATCTAACAGAGTTAAGCAAAGAAGATTTTAATCGCCATATGAAGCACGCCAGAATCAGATGATACAAGTCGCCAACTACATCAACAAAATACACATCATATGAAGATGGGAAAGCCTTTATCAAGGCATAACAATCATCAAATGTGAGAATTTAACCGGTTAATAAGTCCCTGACAACACATAACACAGAGCAAACAAGGTTTTAATCGCCATATGAAGCACGCCACGATCGAATGATATATGTCGCCAACTAAATCGTGTAAGACACACAGATCCGGGCGAACAGTTGGTCTAGCAGGAGATATCTAGCCGCGGGAACGAACAACGAACTAGGCATTTTAAGGAGATGGAGGGGATCGAGGCGGTGGCAGAAGTATTACCAGACGCGGGAGCCGGGCCCGTAGTTCTTGGGGTGGGAGTTCCAGACGTTGGAGTGCCCCATCGTCGCCGCCTTCTTGTTCGCCTTCCGCCTGCCGCCGCCGGTTGCTAGGATGCGCGTGGGAGGAGGAAAGGGTAGGTGGCGGCGGTGCGAGCGGGAGTGGCTTATATAGGGAGACGCCGCGGTAAACCCTAAGCCAAGGGCACGGGTTGGATTGGGCCCAGGCCGACACTTAGCCCCGTATACGGGCTTAAAGGGCCTCTTTGTTGGGCCCAGCCAATCATGAGCATTTGGGCCTCAGATATAGTGCTGTATCTGCACGACTCGCCGTGGCCCGTGAGACTCGTCGGGAAAAAAAATCGTCGTCTGCCGCTCCACTCCGACTCGCCGAGGATGTCTTCCGCCGCCGGAGCCGGAGAGCACTCGTCTTCATCCCGACCTGTCCGTGTGAACGACGTAGCCCCTACCTACCGTCTCTGTGTTGTTTCTTACACTCCACTGACGCGTCCTCGAATGTTTCGTCGTCGCAGGGGAAGGAGAGAGAGGAAGGTACCGACGATATCAACCGCAAGGTGGACGATGAGGGAGATCTGAGCCTGGAACTCTATGGCGCCGAGGCGGGGTGGGTGGAGGCGCGGACCAGCTGCTCGCACCTCCCTGCCATGCCCGCCGCCAGCGCCGACGAACTCGCGCGCGTGCCCGCGCCTGATTCCCACTGCTCTAGGTTTGTCTCATCATCCTCTTCGAGTTTGGTGTCTTGCGATCCTGGGCCTGACATGCGGGTTGTTACTTGTGAGGGTTCTTTCCTGCGGTTTGATGCGCTCCCGCTGGGCTAGGTTTTTTTCTCCCTAGTACTATCCTCTTGGGTGGCGCACTATTTGGCTGAATGCCTGGTTCCCAGACTTCAGTTATGGTGAAATATGACTAGATAACTTAAATTGACAAGGAAAAGGGATTGATACTTGATGACAATGCGATTGATTGGTACTAAGTTGTGACTCGAAAGTGTTATGGCAAGTCTCATATTTATGAATGAGAGTTATTTAGATTACTAACTAGAAGCTTCACTTCATGATTTCTCCTTCGCATTATTCTCACTGTATCAACATATGGCTCATGTTGTTGTTATTCTTGCATCAATTCTGGCATGCAATTCCTCTGTTTATTCACAATATTTTGAGTAGCCAAATCACCTCCAAGTGACAGAAGGAAATATGACTTTAAGATGTGATATTTCCAAAGAAAAAGAGTTGTTGGGTTTGCAAAATAGGATATCCTTTTATCAGGAAAACGTCATGGAGAGTGGTAGGTGCAAAATATGAGTTTCTTTGGTAGAATGATTGCTCAATGAGAAAGTTAGATGATTGGGATCTGGGTTTTGAAGATACTATTGGGTGCATTCCTTAGTTGAAAGTTAGTAACAGGCTAACATCTAGTGAGCTGGTGAACAGCATGGCTTCCTCCTCACTGTGTTCTACAACTGAATGATTTATGTATGCATGGATTACACATGAAAAAGCACTGTTGATACTTCTTATATGACTTCTATAACCAAAGCATGGTTTTCTGTGTCATTTCACCTGAAAATGCTGTTTACGATTTCATGGTGCACCATAAAATTAATAGATTGTCAAACATTGTCTATGCTATCTTCCTTGCATGCTTGTTGCTATAGCATCTGGATGTTAATTGCCTATAAACACCAAAAGCAGTATTAAGATTTTCCAATGAGTTACGTTAGCCTGTGGCACAAGATAATGTATACCCCTATCCTTGTATTGAATCTGAATTAACCTCATATGCTCGAATTTAGGACAAAACATAACTGTTGGATTTGATGTACTTCATATGTCCATGTCTTGTGTTTCCTTATGAGCATTTTTCCATGCAGATGTCATCACCCTTCTGAAAACTGGTTATGCTTGATCTGCAAGGATGTGCTGTGTAGTCGTTTTATCAACAAACACATGCTGTGCCATTATCAAGAAACGGGCCATTGTATCGCCCTGAGCTTCAGGTAAATTGTTCAACTTCCTTTTGCTTAATTTTCTCTTGGACTGCGGATAATTTTCATTGGCTGCATTTATTATGATCAGGGCTCTCCAGTTCCAGTAGTCAGTATGCCATGTTTTTTTTTTGTTAGAGCAAAGTATGCCATGTTCTAAATCTAGCGGTCACCTATGCCAATGTGAAACGGTATTGTTGTGCGCTCACTATAGTACTCATGTTAATCAGCCAGCAGTGTTAGAGCATCTCTAGCAGATCAGCTAAAACCGTGTCCTGTGAAAACAGTATATGGTTCCCCCTAAAATGAATTTGTGGAAATTTACGGTATGATTTTTACGTCAGCAGAACAGATCCCATATAAACCAATTGAATTTACAACAAGGTCCCTGGAAAATAGCACAAAGCACCCTCACACATAAAAAAGAAAAGCAATTGGATCCTCGTGCGGCAGCTCATGGGAGCAAGCTAGCGGGAGCGGCGGCGGGAGCTAACGGAGGCAGCAGCAGCAGCTAGCGGGGGCGGCGGCGGGAGCTAGCGGCGACGGCAGCAGCAGCAGCTAGCGGTGGGAGCTGCTTGCAGCCAATGTCCGCCAGCCCGGACGGCGGCGGTGCACCAGGGTCGAACAGGTTGGACCGTAGTGGTGTTGGCGAGGAACGAAAGCGAGGGAGCTGAAACTAACCTCCCGCCAACCGTTTTTTTGTATTACAGGTCCGTGCAAAAAAGAGCTCCAATCCTGGTTATCTACGGGACAAGGCCCGGATTATGCAGGATCCCGCAAAAAAATATCCGGGATGGTCGATTTTGCAGGATCTGTTTGGGACAGAAAAAACGCCCTCGTCCCGTAAACCGGCGGTTATTATTCCGGATGGCCCGGTTTACGGGATCTGCTAGAGATGCTCTTAGTTGGAAAATAGAGACCAATGTCCTTGTTAAGTTGGGTTAATTGCTTTATAGATGTATTCAGTGTATTAGGGATAAGTTTCCTCGTACTCTCTATGGGCTTCATAGAGAGATTGGTTCTTAGGGATCAAGTGAAGTCATCCTAAAAAGCACGGATACGGCAACACGGACATGGCAACACTCATACGGGGACACGGGATACGGCATTTTCCAGAAACACCCATCGGGGACACGGCAAGTATATATAAAAATAAAAAAATATGCCATGTAATATAGAGTTAAAGACAAAAAAAAATGAGAAAGAGATACTGCCCCATTTGTTGTCTCCTATTTGAAGTGCTTGATTGAATCATCCAGACCAGATCCATGTCATTTCAACTTGCAAAACACATCAAACAATAGTCTAGTATTAGTATCAGTCTATTAGAGACATATAAATCATAATAACTAGAAGATGCCCCGCGCGTTGCTGCGGGACCATTTGCTACAACTATATTGTCTTATAAAGAAACAACAAAAAAGATATAATGTAAAGTCAACGACCTATGTAATCTAGCGTGTTGTTCACAAGGATTAAATGATGCCTTAGAACATGTCGTAAATAGAATATTGGTGATAAGAACACAATACGTATGTGAAATGAACTCCATGACCAATGACTGAATCGGAAAGCACCTGCAAATGACCCACTAAATGTCCTTCTCTCTAAATTCCTCAAGCCAAGCTTTTGAATGACAAAAGTGAAGCACTGAAATTAGTACTGGTCTCAATATCTGAAGGAGGAAAAAAGTGATAACAATGGGCATGGTTTTCTGATCGTTCCAACTCGCGATGTTTAGGTCCACCAAAACTAAAGGATCACAAAAATAAGGGTGCATCTACTAAGTAATAATGATCTAAGTGACATTATCAAGATATGCTAAAAGAAAGTGATGTGGAAGCCTGGACGTGTAACAGAGGGCAGAAGATGTCCTTGGCAACTCGAATGGGCTCCAGTAAATTGCTGCTCCAAATCGGCGAAGCTTAGTGGCGCGTGTCTTGTAGAATGATCGAGATGCCGCAGCAATGAATGTGCAGCAAGCGGATGGGTCTGTCACCATTTCTCTGCTGATCTGTACGCGATACCAGTATGTCCACCCTGTGTAGAAGACAGGAAAATGAAATTGTGAAAACAAAATAGTTGCCTCACATATATGCCTACCTAAATTCATCCAAGCCTATCTTCTTGATTGAGTGACAATTATGACTTACTTGAATAGAAGGGATAATGAGATTTCGTCCTGGGTTGTAGTAGATGATTTGTTCCAACCAATGCATTGCATGGAATGAAGGGGATCATATGAATGTGATTTGTAACGTACTGAAACAAATATAAGATACATGTCATGCGTTCATCAAGTTCAGATAATAAATTTTACAGATGGGATGATTATCTACTAACTCAAGCGGTAAGAAACCTATGCAGGAAGAAAGCACAAATAACCATCGCAATCTGCAACAAATCATCGAGCAACCTGTGGCCAAATCTTACAAAATAAGAAATCAGATAAAAGATTGGATTAGACAAAGAAAAGAGGGCTAGAGAGGGACCCAATCAATCAGCATGTACATGTTGGGAAGTGTAATCAAAGATCTGAGTCCAGTTGTGGTGGAAGATGATTCTCTTCTTTCAGAAAATAAGATTCATACACACTTGTGCACTCCAGGCTGATATTTAAAGGATAAGCGAGCGGTTCAGTTACCTCCTCCGCATTTATGTCATTGTGTGGTGCGGCCGTTCGTTTCTGGCACATTTGCAGGAAAGGAGATTGTGGGGAAGAGGAGCCGATTAGGCAGAGTCAACAGTCTAACAGGCATATGCAAGATAGAAGGCAGGAATCCAACGTCGTGCCATAGTGGGCATTTATTTTGGCATGTATTAGCAGATGGGCCAATAAGCTGGCCTACTACGAGTTTGTACATGCAGCAGACCATGAGGCGTACGGTGGCCTGGGGTCGCGGCGAGGTGGCGGCAGTGGCGGAGGAGCATCGATTCCTATGTGCGCTATTGGTGGTTGTGCGGCCGGCTTAGCCGGCGCGGGCGGCCAGGGGAGATAGGCGACCATGTGTGCAATAGGTTGTGACCGGCATGGCGGCGCGGACGGCCCAGTGCAGGAGCGATCCAGCTTTTTGATTGGTCGTGGTGAGTGGAGGGCTCTCCTCTTATTTCTCTCGTCAGTTACGGAATAGGAAGAGGAACAAATGCGTCTTAAATGGAAATTAAACCGCACCATTAGTTGAAATAAAAACTAAAAGAATTATTGATGTGGCTGAGCTGTGAGATAGTTGTGAACTTGTGATTGGCTGATATTTGATGACATGGCGTGCTGAGTTGGACCACTTGCATGTCAAGAGAATACCTTGTAGTGGGGAGCAACTTCTTAAGAATGTAAGAACTTGTGATTGGCTGATATTTGATGACATAGCGTGCTGAGTTGGACCACTTGCATGTCAAGAGAATACCTTGTAGTGGGGAGCAACTTCTTAAGAATGTAAGATATGAAGTGGTACTTGACAAACAGCAAAGAAGTTTGCTTACCCAATCTGCAACGCTAGCCCCCAATAACATTAGGCTAGTCATAGTGGGTAGTAGCTTAGACTAGTAACATGCATATGTTACTAGTCTCTGTTACTACCTCCATAGTGGGTAGTGTCATACTCCCTCCGTTCCAAGTTACTCGTCGCAGAAATGGATGTATCTAGAACTAAAATACATCTAGATACATCCATACCTGCGACAAGTAATTCGGAACGGAGGGAGTAGATGTGATAACATAGAGAGCTTCATTTATTACTTTGTAGACTCATTTTACATTGGGAACTGCTATTTGATGGTAACATATTATGTTACTCCATTTGCATCTCTCCTCATTAATTACTTGCCACGTCATATATTTTGCCTATGTGGCATGTATGTTACTACTATGTGATGGCAATCTCAAATTCTCAAACACCCAGCATGACACAATATTACAAATACAAACCAAAGAACCAGACCATGACAAATTGACTGCATCAGAAGTTAACAACATCAAATAGTCCACTAAAAGCATAAAAGATAGTACTTATAAGGCTCAGGTGGCCACATAGCAAACAGTTCAAATGGCCGTAGTCTAACAATTCAGGAGTGCATTACATAAATGATGTAGAAACATAAATAAAATAAGCTCCTGGGCTGATGGCTGAAGCTTGATGGATAAAGAGACCCAAGTGAGAGAATCTATTATCTCCTCCAAAGCTTGTTCATCAAGTGAAAGATCTGCACCTTCAAGCATACCCACACTACCAAAACTCTCAACTCCGTCTCTCCCAATGTCCCGCATTCTGCTTGGCACAGTTTGATATGCTTGAGAATTCTTGAAAGCAGGCGGTGGTTGTTGTGTGTAAACACCAAATCAGCAGCTCGAGCAGGAGTAAGCTTGTTTCTTGCAGCACTATGGATGAAGCCGTATTTACTCCAGTTCCTCTTGCAACAAGAGGAAGATGCCGGCTGCCCAAGTACCTTCAAGGCTAATTATTTTTAACACCCTTGTGCTTTCTCAAATCAATCCCATGGAGGATTTTTGGCGATTCAGCAAGATGAATCGCACCTCACACAATGGATGTTGTAGGTCGGTCAAGAGGCTATGAGCATGGCGCGGTGGATTGAGTGTAAGTTGTGACGACACGATCTGGAGGGGTTCGAGATCGCACAGGGAAGGGGAGGGGAGGGGAGGAGAGCATGTGAGAATGAGAGGAGCAGGAGGTGAGGAACAGAGTTCGCATGTTTCTCATTCAATACCGTTCGGGTGTCACAACGCACGCCTAAGAAGCCACTTGGCACACACCCCATTGGGCCACTTGTCTCCCAGGTTACAAGGCCCAAGGCCTGATCGCCAATTGCTGCACGAGTCCAACAAGTGCACTTCAGTCTGCTGAAGGTTCAGTAACCTGAACTGCAGGCATGACATCACTTTACTGGGCGACCGCTTGACCCTGCCACTTCTCCTGCTGCCTCACTGTGGTGCTACCTTTGCCCTTTGTCCATCCTTCTGACGCCACTGCTCAAGGACTGCACGAGGGGAGATGCAACAGTGGACAGCATCACAGAAGAGGCACAAAGCGAGAATCATAGGGGTGGAGGTGGCAAGACAGAGAACATCGCATCAGAAGAGACGGGGTGAGATGTTGAAAAGTATATATGCCGGTGGGTTTAAGGGGACTTAGGTGCCTTAGGGCAAAGGCATTGTGGCATGAGTACTCAGCGAGTATTCCTAGCTGGGCTGGCCCAAGTGGCTTCTGAACCTCTTTCTTTCTTTCCTTTTATTGTTGTTTTGTGAAATTAGGATTTCTTGTGGCTATCTTAGCTATTGCACTATCTGATTCACAAACCTTATAGATTCATGTGCCCGGTCAATTTATGAATCGTAGATTCAAATTGCCAACCTGAAAACTATGAAGAATCTATTGGTGGCTACCTAGGTTCACATCATTGTACAATGCGAAGGTCTAGATCAGATATGCATGATTATAGCCTTTGCCACCAACAAACATAAACTCTTGAAGTATGGTTATTAATCCTTTCATTTCTTTTGTGAGAATGGTTTATTCCTGTGTATATGTTCTGTAAGAAGAACTGCAGAAGTTACAGCACTGGCCAGTACTTCACTACACTGGTTTAACAGCTTTACTACTAGTCGTACCAGTAAACCTCTACAAGAGAGTCAATGTGAAATGCTGTTCTCTCTGGTGGTACCTTTAAGCAATCAATTACTCATATGATTGTTTGCTGTTGAGTTAAACTAACTTGAGTTTAATGGTGGCAAAGTTTAAACCTGGCTAGTTGACTGAATTTAAAGGAAATGTCCATACACCATAGTTTGCTACACATATTATTAGTGAAATACCTCCTGCTTTGAATAATATATAAAATGCAGAAGCACGAAGATAGCTAAATATTGCTATAAATCTAAAATTATTGTTTCCGTATTATCTTATTTTTCATTTTGTTACTGAAGATCCTATCATGTTCTGCCTTTCCCTCTTCTATCCTTGTTGTGAAGCAATACAGTTTAATCCTTCCTATATTGCAGCATCTGCACATTATTGGATTGCTTTTACTCAGCGTTGTTGTATCCCTTTTCAGTGATCTGTCAGTTTGGTGTTTTGCCTGTGACTCCTACCTAGACGCTCAATCCATTTTAGAACTGCTCCCAGTTTATGAAGTTGCACATCTGTTGAAATTTGGAGAAAGGCCCCCTTTTCGATCACTTGAAGTACTGGATTTGAGCAGTGGACAAAATGGAGGTTCATCTTCAAGTTCCTAATGTGTGATCCTCTGTCAGTGAGTTTTTTTGTCATGATGACAGTAGCCCATTGTGTGAGATGGACCTTGCTAAGCACCAGCACAAATATAAGTCAGCTAATGGTCATGTTCCTCATTACTCCTGCCGAAGTACCTGTTAGGCGTGAAGCAAACTGATAATTGTAAAAGTCTGTTTACCTTTGGACATGATAAAGGCATTAAAATTGCCTTGATGTTGACATCCAGAAAAGTATTCAATTGCGAATATATTTTTCTCCAGTGACTGATGTAGTTTAAGCTTATCCACAAAGATATGAAAGTTTAGGTATGTGCCGTTTGACTTTAGATTCTCAGATAAGAGTTGTGCTCTGCTCACTAGTCTCTGATAGTGCATAATTGTTGGCACTACAGGCTGACAGCTTGTTGCCTACCAGATAGGAGGAATACTCAGTTGTAGAAACACAATGCATAAAGAGCATGTATTTGACGAAGAAGCTATCTAATTGGGAAATGAACACTCAACAATGCCCTCTATGGCATGAGCTTGAGGAACTTAATATTTCTTGCTCAAATGTGTGCCAATGCACTGCTTATCGGTCCACATGAGAAAGATTTCTGCTATTTCTATAGCTACAGGATATCCACTTCTAGAACTTTTATGACCAACTTGTCATTTTGTGATAAGCAGTAAAGGAAATTTGATCCCTTTGCAAAATAAGCAAGTGGTGTGCTTCTGGGAGGTTAAATCATGTCATGAAAGTTGTCCTTTTGCAAGATGATTAAGATAAACTCATATTTTAAGTTAGTGTGATGCTATTTTTTATTCGTTGGTTGATAGTGATGTCACTTTGTGAGCTGCCTAACATTATAAACCCAATCAGACATAAAACAACATATGTCCTCTTTGGTTGCCTTTTTTTTTTTTGAGGAACTCTTTGGTTGACATTCGTGTGCTTGGCAAATCTGGTGAACGGCTACTCAAGTTTGTGGTCTCATTTTCCTTAAAACATAATCATCCAAATTTGCATGCTATTGCTTGTTTGATCATCATTGCAGTTTATTTGTACTACATAGTCCTCTCAAATCTCAGATGTATTCCTCCCAAAATAGTTGTTGGACAGTTTGGATGAACTGAAATACTAATATGGCAAGACAATAGGTTAAAATTTACTCCTGCTGTTCGTAAATATAAGTCTTTTTAGAGAATTCAATATGAACTACATACAGATATATATAGATATTTTCCTTAAAACATAATCATCCAAATTTGCATGCTATTGCTTGTTTGATCATCATTGCAGTTTATTTGTACTACACAGTCCTCTCAAATCTCAGATGTATTCCTCCCAAAATAGTTGTTGGACAGTTTGGATGAACTGAAATACTAATATGGCAAGACAACAGGTCAAAATGTACTCCCTCCGTTCCTAAATATAAGTCAGGATTCAATATGAACTACATACGGATGTATATAGACATACTTAGAGTGTAGATTCATTCAATCTCCGTATGTAGTCTATATTAGAATCTCTAAAAAGACTTATACTCCCTCCATTTCAAATTACTCGTCGCAGAAATGGATGTATCTAAAACTAAAATACATCTAGATACATCCATACTTACGACAAATAATTCAGAACGGAGCGGTGTGGTCGCCTGTCGCGGCCCTTCTTCGGTGTGGGCGAGGGCTTTGAGCTCCGCCTCCATTTGGTGTCCTTCTTCAACCCTGTCATTGAAGCTCTCCTTGGATGCCTCAGCTTTTTTCGAGGCTCGCTTTGGGGACATCTAGCTGCGATGGCCGTGGTGATTTCTCACACACGGTGAGGATTCCGCACGGTTGACGCCAATTTTGACGTTCAAAAATCACTTTCGACTAGGGGGTATCCTTAGTTGGGTGGACAGATTGGTTGTGTGCATCCGGTGTAGAGGCTGGGTGTAATTGGTATCTTCACGATATTAATATACCCCCCTTTCAAAAAAAAGTTGGATGGACAGAGATTAGAGAGGGCGTGTACAACGACCTTATGTTGAAGGTCGCCGTACACTCGACAAAGTGACACATCGATGTTTCTTAAATAGGTTCGGTCGCCTCGTGGGAGCGCGACCTACATCCTATGGAAGAGTCATCGAGAGTGGTGCCCAGGGCACGAGGCACTTGGAGTGCGGCCGTTTTCGCAGTCCCACAACTCTTGACTAGTCCGAGTCTTACCAAATCCCTCAGACTCCGAGCTCTCGGCCTTTGCTTGCCCTCCTGAAGAGGCTTGGAAGAGGAATGTGAAGTGTATTCATGTGAGAGTGAGTGAGTTACATGCTCACGGGAAACTCTATATTAGCCTAGGTGTCCTTAACAAATGACCAAGCCTACTCTTGAAGTAAGGAGGTGAGAGCGTAGGACTAGTAATTTTTCGTCATTTGGCCCATGTGCTTCTTGTTAGGCTAGGAGGTGGGGTTGAGTAGAATCCCTACACTATGAAGAGGCTTTCTTGCTTGCGCTTGGGCTTCTTTGCTCACTTGCTTTCTCCTTTGACTTATGCTTTTATGTGGTCTTCGCCCTTTTGCCTTCTTGACCATGAAGCTTATTTGGACTTTCGTTGACCGAAGTAGTCTACTTGGACCCACGGGGGTGGCTTGGACTATTGTTGACTGTCTGGGTGGCACTCCATGTAGGATACGGTGTGGGACCTCAAGTAGGGTTAAAATCGACTACAAGATCATGCATTTTTTAGTAGACCCTGAGAATAGCGATGCTCCTTTGTATTAAATGGGTAGGTTTTTTCTTGCAGAGCCGGCTGTGCGCGCTACAAAATTTGTGATCTACTGGTTTAGAGAGTACAAAACAGCCGCACACACCTTTTTTATGAGTTGTTTCGAGGTATACAAGTTGTTGTTGTCTTCAAAGGCCTCGATTTATTAATTAAGTTTAAGAGAGTTCTCTAATTTGATGTTAATACATTGGTATTAAAAAAACAGTTAACTATGGTTGCAGTTTTGTAGTCCCTCTAATCCATAGTACTTGTCGCGGCTTTAGTACAACTTTATACCTAAACAGAGGGATTACTTGTTGTGTAGTACTTCCTCTATAAACTAATATAAGATCTTTTAGATCACTAAAGTAATGATCTAGAAGATCTTAGAGCATCTCCAATAGATGGTTCAAATTTTGGCGGTCCAAAATCGGAGATGTAAAATTTGCACGTCAAAAAGTGCATTTTAGAGCTCCGAAAAACGCTCAACTCCAACATATGGTCGAAATTGATGGTCCAAAAGAGCAACTCCAATAGATGATCCAAACCAAAGATGTAAAAATCTGAAAACGGCCGCGCGGCTGCTGCCAGCCACTGTTCAGCCGCGGTTTTGCATTGAAATAGCATCAAAAATTTGAAAATAAAGTGCATCATCATCATAGTTTCAATCAAAAGTGCATCACCATCATAGTATCAAATCCCTCTACCAAAAGAACATCGTCTCAATCAAAGTTTTGCGCCCTAGAAATTGAAATGTACATGAATATTACTCATACGGGTCATCAACACCACCGGCGTTGTGAACCGTGGTACGATCATCATCTTCACCACCGTCTTTGTCGACGTTCTCAACAAGCGGTGAACTCTCGTTGCCGTGAGCACCACCGGAAGCATCTTCATTGCGTCCCATACCGGTCATGTTGCCGACGAAGCCAACTCCAACACCACTCATGTTGCCATAGCCACCTCCCAAGCCACCCATCATGTTGCCGCCAAAGCCACCTTCCATGCCGCCAAAGCCACCTTCCATGTTGCCACCGAAGCCACCTCCCATGTTTCCGCCAAATGCACCATTCATGGAATCTTCAATCATGTTCATGTAACCACCCATGGCACCTCCCATGCCTCCTCCCATGGCACCTTCCATGCCACCTCCCATGGCACCTCCCATGCCTTCTCCCATGCCTCCACCCATCATCATTTTGCCTCATGAGCATTTGCTTCTTCATGAGCATTTCATCGCGACAAAGTTCAGCATATGCCTTTGCCTTGGCATCAAGAGTTGATGTGTCCATAAACATAAACTTGAGTGTCCTCTCCTCAACCATCTTCCTCTCATCGGCCGCGGCCTTATTCTCCTCTAGGTCCACCTTCCTCTCCTCGGTCGCGGCCAACCTCTCCTCGGCCGCCGCCCTTCGCCGCTCGGCCTCACTCCTCTCCTCTATTTCCTTGAGCTTCAAGATTCTTTTCTCTTCGGCGTACTCTTTCCTCGCCATGACAATGGCATCAAATCCTTCCTTGAGATTATTGTCTCCGGCCTTGGTTCCCTTCGCTTTCTTGTTTCCATCGGGCCTATAAGATTTTGCCGCGGAGTGAGGAGTGGGGCTCGTCTCCTCAATGGCGACATCTTCTTCATCCTCAAGCACCGCACTCTTCTTCCTCAACGATTCAAAAGTCTCTCTAGTTTTCCACTTCTCCTCATCCTTGAGCTCTTTGTAGCAATGATGAAAAGTGAAAGCTTTTCCTTTCCTTTTCTTCTTCTCGCCTTTCATGTTCTTCTCTCGAAATAATCCTTGTGCAATCATTTTCTACAATAAAACAAGCAACACATCATCATCAACATGTGGAACAAAGAGGAAATATGTGACAAAGCACGCACGAAGAGAAAATATTTACCAAGTCACTATCACCACAACCACTTGGGTTCATGCGAGCAACGTTTGACAAGCAACCGGCCCACTTTTGGCATTTGGCGTTGATGGTGGACCAACATTGGCGTAGAGAGTCGCTTGAATGGAAGTGACCACTTGTGTTGCGCTCATCGAAGTACTCCTTGATGCGTTGCCAATAGGTGTTCACCGTTTGGTCGCTTCCAACGCTTGCATCTTGAGAGATTTTCTTCCAAGCGATGCATATCAACACATCCTCCACGGTGGTATAATTTCCACTTCTTCCCTTGACAACAAAGCCCTCATCGTCCACATCAAGATTGTCATCATCATATTGGGTTTCATATTCTTGTGACGCATACATGTAATCATCATTTGCCACATTTGCC